GCCCAGAGTGGGCTTTTTTATTTAGGTTTTCTTCTATTGTATTCACTATTTTTTATTTTTTGTTTTTTGCCTCTGCCAATTTTTATGTTTTGAGATCTGCAGGTGAGAGTTTTTTATTTATTAAATTTAAAATTGTTATATATATTATTATATAATATATTTAATTTTGCTATATATAACAATTTATATTTATTAAATAATTAATTTAAAAAAATTCAAGAAAATATAATTAGCTAATAATTAACAATTTTTTAATTTTGAAGTTTAATATTTAAAACATTTAATAATTATTTAATAAAATTAAAGATATTTTAATTTATAAAATATTTTTAGTTTAGTAATTATTTTAATAATAAAATTTTAAATTAAATATAATTAGTTACTAATATATATAAATTTCTAATTTTAAGTAGAGAAGTAATATAGATCTTTAATAGTATTACTATAAAGACTAAACTATTAGAAATAAATATCAATATTGAAATATTTAAATATTAAAAATCTCTGTTAAAAGTATCACTAATCAAGCCACTAAAATGAACCAAAAAAAAAGATATCAAGACAATCTAATATGCCAATAAACTGTTTATAATTTTGCTAAATTATTTGAATTAAAAGTCTAATAAACAGGCAAGAATATACTAAAATACTAGAAATATGCTATAAAATAGATACTAGAATTTGAGTAAATTCTACAAGAATATAGCAATTTAATTAATCTTAACTGCAAGTATTGATTCTATTATAATAATATTGAGTTAATTGTAAAAATAGGCACAAAAGGCTTTAGAAAGTTTACTTTAAGAATAAAATAATTCAAAAGTTGAGGCAATAACCTGAGTATAACTCAATAATATTAATACAAGATGCAGATTTAGAGAGTTTAAAATGAAACATTCAAGCAAGAATGTTAAATATAACAATTGTAAAAAACTTTTAGACAAACTTCTTAAATAGATAATATAGAAAAGTTATATATATAACTAATTATACACTTTTTGTAATAGTTAATAAAATAAATTATCAAAAAAACTGTTAATAAAAGTCAAAAGGCCAAAAAAATCACTTTAAAAAAATTAATAAAAATTATTTCTTAAAAATTAATAAAAATTTTTATTAAAAATTAATAAAAAGAACTTATTTAAAAATTTGTAATTATAAAATATTTTATTATATATATATTACTTTATTATAACTTATTTTGTTTTAATATATATTTTATTTAAAGTTCTAAGATTTAAATTTATAATTTAAATTGTATAAAACCTTAATATTCTTTATAAATTAATATTATAAATTATTATTAAGATACTACTTAAGATTAATAAATTATATTTTAAAAACTATATTATATAAACTTTTTGAACTAAAAAATTAACAAAAACTTAAACTTTCTTATTTTATATTTTTAAGTAATCTAATAATGAAAAATAAATTAAACTTTTTTACTATATCTTAATTAAACAAATTTAGATCATTTTAATAAATTTAGTTTACAAATAAATATTGTTTGTCTCTTATTCCTGTGTATAAATAACAATATAGAACAATAAATAGATATGTTTTTTCTGTCATTGAGCATTTATAAAACCTTTATGAATATTAGCTAACCAATATAAGATTCTTTATAATTATTATTATTGTTATTCTAATTATTACTAATAGTTATATTAACTAGTTATCTTATTATTGCAACTGTTATTTGAACAGATTGCAATTTCAAAAATATCTGCAAAACTGGATAACCTACTCATTCTTGTCCTTTATACTATAACTGTTATTTTAGCAGATTAGGTTATACAAAAAATGCTTAACTTTAGTAGAGAGTAAGTAAAGTCGATATAACTAGAATGAAAGTCAGTTTGTAGAAATAACAAAATTAACTTATAACATTTTCTTTAAATCTTACTAATATATTATTATTACTTCATGATTATGTAATTACCTTATACTAACTAAAATACTATCTTATTGATCAAGCTTTAATTAATTATTGGTCATCTTATTAAGCATAATATACCAACTTGATAAATTTGAATTAAAATGTAATTATACAAAATTTATATATTAACTTATAATTAAATAAATATATTTAATATTTGAAGATATATAAAATATATTTATAAAAAAAAATTAAATTAATTTTTTATTACATATTATTTAAAAAAATCTCAAAAACTGAAAAAAGAATAACAATATTACATCTCTTCAAACTCATAATATTTACAATACTTCACAATAGATACAACAAACTAGACACTACAAAAGATTACATACAAATTATACATACTTATGTCTATGTAGAATAGCAAATCAATTACACTTATATCTTAATACTTGTCTAACAATTAAACAGACTATTAGAAAAATTAATATATAATCAATACTTTGGATTAATTATAACACATCTTATAACCATATTTTAATATTACAAATCTAGGTGGGCCTTGACTACTATAGTCAGTTTAGGTTACAGATAAAGTTGTCTAAGTTTTAATTTTTGTATATAGTTTTTATTTTGTATTTTATAATTTTAGTATATTTTTAATATATAGTATATTAATATATACAACTAAATTACTAATAAAGATATAAGCAAGTCTTTATCTTAATACTAAAAAAAAAAACAGTTATCTTGAAATTTTTATTAAAAATTTGTAAACTTGAAATTTTATTAATAGAAAAGTAAAAAGCCTATAAACTTAAAATTTTGAATAAATATTCTCAAATAAGTAAAGTATCAAAAAAGAATTTTTTATTTATACAACTAATATATAATAATAAATATTGAAATATATTTTTTATTTATTATATATTTTAAGAGCATTAAAGTTTATTAAATTTTGTGGCTCTCACAATTTGGTAGTATAATGCATATTAGATATACAATTTGTTATGCAGATCAGATAGGCAAAATTTTTAATAGAAAATTTGAGTGATCAACATCTATATGATGGACTTATTTTTAATAATAAATTGCAACAGTAGGCCTTTTTTAAAAGTTATTTTCAGAGAGTTCTTAAAAAAATCTGCACTTACAAAACTAGATACAACTGTTTAGCTATACAATACTTAATTAATCTGTAACTTTAACTAAGAAAAAAAATAAAGCTGAGAAAGATTACATCCTCAAAAATGGCCTTTTATTCTATTTTATATAGTACTTGTAATGCAACAGAACCTTCTTGCTTTGAAACTTTTTAAGCAAAAACCCATGCACTTGCTTAAGATTATAAATTTCAAGAAATGTTAAAAGAATTCAAAACTATTCTAGTTTAGGTTTGTTTATATCTAAAGTTCAAACTAATATAGTATATACTATCAAATCTTTCTAAATACATGTTCTTGAAATTATACTTTAACAATGTATACTTAGAAAATAAAAAAAGTGCATTTATAGAGATTAAACATATATTTTTATTAGAATTTGAGCATGCACTTATAGAAAGTATACTTAGAAAGATCTAACTGTATTTCTCATAATTGTATATAATCTATCAAAATATTCTTTTAATTTTTTATAAATGGAATTGTGTTTTTGAAAGATCTGAGATTTGTTCAAGTTTTGCTAACTAGTAGTAATATTTAAACAAGTAACCTATTTGTTATTAATTTAATTCAATTTATAATTAATAGTTGTATTTATTCAAATGATAATTATAAAATAAAAAAATTAAAGTTTCAAGTTTTAAATTGTATTTTATTAAGCCTGAATTTAAAATTTGAATTGATAAAAATGTACTATATAAAATTTTTATTTATATCTGTATTATTGAAAAAATATTGTACAAAGTTTTTTATAGTATATATGCACTAATTAACTGTATATTATTAAACTATTTTAGTTAATAATTCAATTAATTAATTAATAGTCATTATCAGAGCAATGTTGACAAGACTATTATTATATTTAATTGTTTCAAACAAATTGGTTATATAAAATTTGTCAACTTAGATTCAGTAAGATTCTATTATCAAATATTGTTAAAAGAAAAAGGCATATCAGATATTTAAGTATAATATCAATTATCTATCTAATTTAGTCATTTAGTTTAATTCCTAAAATTGTTTGATATTGTTTAGCTAAATTAGAAAAATCATTAATAATATACTTAAAAACCAGAAGTGCCTTTCTTTCTTGACAGTACTTATAATTAAAAGTCCAATATGCATTAATTAAAAAATAATACATTATTCTGAAATAATACTTTAGGCATTATTTTGAGATAATACAGTAAAATAAAATGTCTAAAATGTCTTTTTTTCTTAGCATTTTTTTTTATATAAATTAATTTGTTAAAATGCACTAACTGATTGTTTAATTGAATTATAACTCTATTAATTTATTAGTTTTTGATTGTTCTACTATTAATTTATCAGTTTTTTTTATTGTTTTGCTATTAATTTATTAATTTTCAATTGTTTTACTATTGATTTATTAGTTTTATTGTTTTAAAAATTATGTAAGTATATCTTGATTGATTAGTCAAACTCAAAACAAATTATTATAAATATTTCTTGTATATTCATCTTTCAAACTGCAAAAAAATTACAAAAAAATAATTAGTATTATTAAATATATCTATTTTTATAATAAATAAATAAATAAATAAAAATTATGAAAGAATATTTGTATAAAATTTCATCTGAATATGAAGAGGTTTATGAAAAGTTTAGTCAAGAATTTAATATAAGCATTAAACATGAAATTTATAATAAGACACTCATATTTGATTGTAATTCATTGAAAAAATTGCAAGAAAATATGACTCAACTGATTAATGAATTAGATAATAAACTATTTAAATATAATAATGAAGTTTCTTAAAATAATAATATAACAAATATATTTGAAGAATTTAAAAAAGAAGTATCTCTTACTCCAAGTTATAATATCAAAACAGCATGTTGTATTATTATTAATAATAACAATAACAATAATATAATTTAAAGATGCACTAAACTAGGAGACTGTTATTTAAAGCAACTATTTGATATATAGAAAATTGATTCTCAAGCTATGCAAGAAGTTGCTGGTAATATTTTAACACTAAGAATTTGTTTGTGTCATCTAAATTATAATCAAAAAACTGTATATGAATTTTAATCAAAAGTACAGTTTATCAATGAAAGCATAATAAACTTACATTATTGTTTATTTTGTAATAAATTAAAATATTTTTTTACAAGAGGCAAAAAATATGCATTGTATATATAAAAAGTATGCAAATACACAATTCAAGTACCATGTCTTGGATTGTTCAAGTGCCTAGTAATAACTAAATATGCTGATCTTTAAAAAAAAAACACTCATTAATGATAAACATCATTTTATTTACACAGTCTGCTTTATAAAAAATGATAATTATTTGCAAATTTGAGTGAAAAAAAAGAAAATCTTGTTTTATATATAAAATGACAATAGTACAAGGCTGATATCAAGTTTACTTTGAAGTTTTTTTTTTTTTTTTTTTAACTATCCCAGATGATATCATCATGGAGCGCATGTGGCGCTCTTTTTATTATAACTGCTAAATTATTATTTACACATTAATGGATTTACTAAGCTAGGTATTTATAGATTTTCCTA